GCTACGTCCAGAACCGGCGACGAGATCCAACTTGTAAATAACATGGGGGCAGCCAAAGGGCAGGAGGTCAGAGTCTTCGGATATCACAGCATCGACGAGCCTACCAATATGGTAGTCGTAAAGTGCCAATGCAGAGAGCTGAGTGATTCATTCCAGGACACGTTCGAGAAACGTTATCGGGCTGTGCATGAAGATCGGCATGATGAGCTCACGTGCACTCCAGCCCTACATCTGAGTTGAGCTAGGGCACGAATATAAACCCATAAATCTGATGTCAAAGTAACGGAAACTGCAGCTTCCCGAAATCCCAACGTCAATAGAAAATCCAGTGACGAGGACATCACCACTAGACCCTCAACTTGCCACACTGGGTCTCGATGATTTGTCTATCATGTAACACCAGCTCAGAATGAAATGAGAGTTGCCCCTTAGTATCAATCAAGACGATCGAACAGGTCGAATACTCACCCATTCAAAGCAAGATACGCGAGCTGGGCGTCGGCTTCATAAGGCGCGACAATCCAGCGAACTCGAGGGCCGAACTTTCGACCTGTCCAACAGACCCAAATGCTCAACAGGCTAACTGGTTCGAGACACCTCTGATCAGTGAGATGAGCTCTGCTGCCATGTCCGGTGTAACGTCTGCTGCCCGCGTGAACATCTTACGAGCAGCTGCATGGTTGCCAGCTTTCCGATACTCTAAACCCAGCTCTCGTGCCTGCATAAAACAGGTTCGAGACCAAGGCTCCGTATACTCCACCTGGACACGCCATAGGCGTCTCGCACTCACTTCTTGGCGACGCTTTTGTCGTTCGTCTTCAACACCGAGCTTAGCAGGCAAAGGGCACCCATCGAAGACTAAAACGACTTCAGCGACTCCTGCGGACAGGAGCACTTCCAGTCGCCGAACACAGTAGTTGAGATGCAGACTGGTGGGCTTCCCTAACAGTCACTCAGTACTAGTGCAGCTCGAAACTAAGTACCCGTGACGACGTCCATAGCAGCATTGCCAGCTTGAAGACCTCGATGCAACCATACATACGTGTCCACGGCTATACGTTTATCCCTGTACTCGGAAAGATCTTGCGAGATGGGTCGCTGGAGCTGCTCTAGAGTTTTCAGAAGTCCGTTTATCCCCATTGTTGGTGAACTACGCATGTATTGACGACAATCGGTAAACACAATGCATCAGTTGTGGTCAACAGAGTAGGTCAGCAGCAAACCAGCTTTCACTATTAGTCAGACACATATCGCGCGCCCCGCCACAGCTACCACCACGAATGATGTCAATAGCAGTAGATACAGGAGCGGCGGCACTGGCAGGATGCTGCAACAGCAGCGGCTATTATCAACGAAATGGAAGCTCCCAGGCTATCGGAAGCAGGAGCATCAATCACGAATTAAAATGATGGACGAAGTCGACACAACACTATCTCTAAAGTCGTTTAGCACCAATAAGCAAAGCCTTTGCTCTAAGTAGGTCTGTACCCACTCAAACACGATCGGCAGGGGGCACGAGTTCACAAGGCTGCTGCTGCTGCTAGTGCTATTACTACTACGATAATAATACTAATAACCAAAATGGGGATTAGCACAAGTAGGGAATACTCAGTGTAATGCGAGAACTAGAAGACTGAGTTATGATAGCAATAGTCACAGAATGGTATTATTATCATCACCATATCCGAGGTGCCAGGGACAATGAACGAGTCACATACGGGGCACAGTAAAGCAGCAA